GGCTCGCTCTCAGATGAGCTGGGCGAGCTCGAGGTCTCGTTAGCCTTCTGATCCTCGTGATGGTGCTTGCGGTGTTCCTCGCGATGCTTGTGAAGGTGATGATGGCTCCTGCGATGGTGTCGTTTGTGGAGCGTGCTTGATTCATGGCTTTTCTGAAAATCTATGATTTAGCCATAGTCGTTTACCAGAAAAAGTGATCTCACTTGAAAAGGTTGCCTTTCTAAGGAGCGAGTTTTGACGAAGCTTTTTTTCGTAGCTTGCTGACTTTGGATCTGTTTTCATTCCTTCTCAGCACTTTCGACAAGTTGAGATAGATTTCGTGGTGTAACTTGATGGAAATGTTCTAGGAGGGCTTATGAGATAAAAAACAGCAAGCATATTTTATTAAATTGCTGTTGTTGTTTCAATTGTGCGCACGATCTATTTCTCTGCTTCGAATTTCTGGGAGCTCACGCATCGGATTTGCAATGGCGAGACGTGAGAAAAAGTAATTTCAACAGATTCCGAACAACCAGCTGTGCCTCTCACAGCTTTTATCTTAAAGCTGGGACATCGCTTATCATATGCGACACCGTCTACTTCATAGACATACTTCTATTCTATCTCTATTGTATGTGCTAGGATCACTCCTTGGCTAGATAAACAATTCATTTGCTGATTTACCCGTACACGCGAGTACCCTATATACTACCTATTGACACATTCTTTAAGTAATGCGTGTTTTATCACAACGAGAAAATTTCAAGCATATATAATGCATGAATCTAAATTTATCTATAATCCATTCACCATCGTCACTTACCAGCAGTTGTTATATTTGGGAAAACTTTCAGTAGCTCTTCTTAGGACCGCTGCCCTGACACGAAAATAGAGGTTAGCGAAGGGTCACTGATCCCGCTCTAGGTCATAGAGAACTTTTTGCCGTAAACTCCTTTGTATTAATCATCTTCTTCTAGAGTTATCTTCCGAATTTTCGCCATTCGCTGACTTCACCAAAAACTATGCGTTTCTCGCTCTCGCAACGCAGCAACGAGGCAGCAAAAAGACAAGTTGATATCGTGGGTGCCTCCTCCGATCCGGATTTGCCGCTGCGCCATTTTTTGAGCCGTCGAGCTAATCCAAGAGCTCAACAGACGTCAGGGCTGCACCGAGAGAGCTAACAGGGGGGGGGGGCTATTATGACGTCATCGCTCGTTTATGAAATCAAGGATGGACAGGGTGCAACTTCATGCGAAGCAGTAAAGTGGTCAGGAACATGGGCGCATTGCGCAGGATCATTAAGAGGACAGGCAAAGGCATACTCCGACTCGAGCCATATCGCCTTTTATTACTTCCTTTCCAATGGACACAAAATAAGGCGGCACGACGAAGAATGCTAAGTGTTCAGGGAGCACCTGAAAGGTACGCTATTTTTGGACGAGACGTTCTTCACAGTGGAGGCGTCCTTCAATGATACAATCAGCCAACGATTAAAGACAGGCATACAAAGCTGTATCTCTCGCAAACCTCAAACACAGTAGCAATCATTGAACTGAACTGAAAACACCACTTCCCCCTTCCTCGATCCCTCGATTTCCGAAAAGCGACCATTCTCTTGGGTAGGATACTACCATTGTAGCAATCAAAACTGGGTATGGAAGAAGGATCGCTATCTAGCACACAAGACTAAGATCGCCCAGGACTGGTGGAGTCCAGTTTTCAGGCCGAGCCAGAACTACAATATTTCTCGGTCAGGTTGGCGGGTTGGGAGGCTATGACACCTGATCTTTTCCATATTAAGGCGAAGGCTTGTCCCATAAACGTCTCGGCTTCGACAAAATTGTCCCTCATCGAGAATGAGCCGTAATCAGTTGACCACCTGAGCTGTACTATCAACTCTTTCAGAAGTATCTGAAGAAGGTTATCACCTAGTGAGACGGTCGTGTCGTCGACTGAAACGAATTTACCTTCATACCATGAAATACGCCATTGAGCTCAACAGGCGTCCCAGGACTAGACTCATCTCTCGAGCTACAGAAACGGTGAGGAGTTCCGGGGACACCGTGAGAATATCTCAAGCTTATATTGCTCACTTCATGCACTTCTCCTCAACTGCTTCTGCGATACTACCTTATTTTTTAATTCGAAAAGCAATTTTCTAGATATAATTTTTCGTTATGTGTTTCGTTCGTTATTCCTTAGAAAGAGTTACTTGGTCTGCCGGGAGTGTTTTATGTTGGATTGTATATACCGGCTGCGAAGAAAAAGGATGCAAACGGTTCTTTCCCTTCCATTCCACAAATTTTGGCATGGCGGACAACACGCGTTGCTTAAAGAATGACCTGACATAGTTCGGATCTGATATTTCCCTTACCGAATTCGATTTTCTCGTGGATCTCTGTACGCCTCTTTCTCTGCCAGGGTCGACAAATTCGAAGAATCCTATAATGTTTATTATTATCGGTAAGACTATACAGACTTCTTCTCGATAACTTCAATACACGTTTGATATACCTGCAAAATCGAGACTTCCTTCGTCTCCTTTCTTTTCGAACTTCTTATTGAGATCTTTTTGACGGCGATGTGCTTCGGGTAGTTCGGCTATGGCAGCTCTGGCCTCATCAGGAGTGAGACTGACTCCATTACTCGCATGGCGTTGGAAGAGGCCTTCTGAAACAGCTCGTTTCAGCAAGCGATTGTTACAGTTTTATCAAGCGATGCCATGTTTTGGCAAATCCAATGCACGCACCGGTGGGATATCTTCGAGAAAGTTGAATGAGCACATGTTTACAGGACCTCGCAATGAAATGCGCGATTTCAAACAATGACCTCTAAACTTAGCTTGTTTCATGGTTTTGAAGCTCTATATTTATGTTATCAGTTAGAGGTTTGGGAGATAAGCTACACCTATTGGTCTGAAGGCAGTATCGGTCTTCCTAGCGTATAACTTGTATGGAGACATTGTAAATGCTATGCCATGTTACCCTAAAGCATTTGGTGGGATTTGTTCTATACCATAGTTTCTTCCATCAAGAGCGGATGCATTTCGATTAGAGGACTTTGAAAATCTGTAAAATTACAAGGACCACCTAGTCTGACGAAGAGAACACGTCTAATAAGTTCACTTTTTCTTGCAGTAAAAGCTCAAAAATAAGGAAAGCGTCAGCTCTTCCCGGAAAGAAAACTTCACTCAACTACTTTTTGTTGTGGAACCCAATATGGTACTTATTTTATCTGTTAGAGTCTTAGTAATGTTGCTCACATCTGGTAAAATGCAACACAGCACCGAAAATGGCCTTAGCGTTCGGCGCTGAAGCCATGTTCGCGGCTGGCGCTCAAAGGGGGAAACCCACTCAAGTACAAAAGCCCATTTACCTTCACTGATGTCAGACGCCCTAGTTGTACTACATATGACTTGCTCGGAAGTTGTAGGCAGCCCGCTTCACTTACACGTGCATTCTTTGCTTATTACTCCAGTTTCCTAACCATGAGAAGCAGTACAATAAGAAAATAGTAAAAGCAGTCCAGAATCTACACTGTAAGCCCATTTCCTTTTATATGGACCAGCCGTTTCTATGCAGCGTGCCGTACGATCCTTGATTACCTGAACAGCGGCCCTAGTTTTAACCACCTGGTGGCCAAATCGCTTGCAGTTCAACTATGTACTCTTAGTGCTGTTGATGAATAAAGGACATCAGTAATATGTCTTTCTCAAACTCGATCAAGCTAGTTTCGTTCTACGAACTTCAGGTAAAAATTTGGCATCTAACGGCACTTTTAGGATAGTCCACATTTCGTAATACAACAGCAATTGAGTTCAATTTGAGACTGGAATGTGCACGGACCACTTCGCTTCGGAAGGATTCAGTGACTTTTGGTAAACGATAAACAGATTGACGCAGTAATGGTTCTTCCACTATAAAAGAGTTGGGGCAAAGAAAAAAGGTCAATATGAAATTTTAAAAAATGCCTGTAAATTTCAGTGTTCTGACTCGATTTGAACACAGCAGAATGGTATTGAGATGATGAGAATTTTTTAGAAACGGAACTTCATAGAATGATAGGAAAATGAAAATAAAAGCTGAAGGCGTTATGCTTCTGCAATTCGTAGTGAATCTGCGGGAATCACAAATTCTGAGCTTGTTCCGTAGGCTAGTTCATAGATTTTAAATCTGTAAAGCAACAGAAATGTTCTACACTCACTTAAGCGTTTGATGCTGAAATGTGGTTCTCGTGGCATGGCAGAACTCTCCTGCTTTGGAATCTTGGGAAGAATCTTGAGGAGCAACTTTCACCCGCGCAGCTCCTTCTTATACTTAGTGACACCTATCAGCGACTGATTTTTACTGCTCCAACGCGGCGATAAGCGCGATCGTAAGCGACGTTGCTTGCGTATGTTCGCAAGTTCTTTACCAGCCACTTTGGTATGATAACCTGGTGATAGCCTTACCATTTTATGTGACAAACAACCAAGCCCTCTTGAATCGATCAAAAGCTACTAGGGATGTCATTCGTCGTTAATGTTAATAGCGTGCGCTTTCAATCTGTGTTAATCGAACAGATATAAATTTGAGAGGATGATGGATTTTTTGATTCTTCATTTTCGATATAGAACAGAGCGAGACAACAAAAATATGAACATTGTACAGACATCCAGCATTAGCCGATGCCTACTCCCTTTTTGAATACATTACCTATGACCAGATTTATTTTCTCTTACTCTGGAAGAAAATTGGGGAGATATCTTCAAGGAACGACAAGGAGTTGTAGTTTGAGCAGCAGCTACGGAACGATTGGAAAATGACAATAGCAACTACTGCGCGGAGGACGTCTTCGAAGCCACATGGACCTGACAGTTGCAACGAAATAGTCGAAACCATTGAGTAACCAAATCTCTCGCGCGTGATACGCTTTTGCATAACTCAGATGACCTTCAAAAGGGCATGCTGCATTGTCATCCTTACGTTAAGCTGAACTACGTTGATGAGGCTGTTCAGAATATACGAATATTACATTCTCAGATAAAAGGAGTTGCCTGATACCCCCTTGTCACCAATTCCTTGTGTGACTACCAGTAAGGTCCATAGTCATTCCTATCCTAGACCATTTTAGTGGCTAACACTCAAAAAAATGCGATGCAACTTAATGATTTTGTCTCGAAATTCTTAGTAGGAGGTTCCACAAGTTGTCCGAAAGTTCTGGTTCACGTGCCGAAAGAAAACTCAAGACATGTAGCTAAAAAACTCTGGGTATCGGCATGGAACATCTTTACAGGACTTCCTCGGCAAGCCCGTGAATTCCTATGAGACCAAACCCTCGATGGTTGTGATCTTTGTCATCTGGTTTTATTGCTCCAACGCGGTAAAGCAATTACAGGTGAAAAGCGCCAACATTCTCCGATAAGGTCTCATTTTAGGGCGTAATGAATGTTTCTGAGTAATGAGATAAGTAAATTACTAACGTACAACGAGACATTCCAAATTCGAAAATCACAAGTCCCTGGTACAGTCGAGGAACTGTATTTCATTCAAAAAATGAAGGGATCATTGAGCCCCTTATCCCACTGCATTAAGTTGTTTGAATATGCTTGCATGAAATCTCCATAATATGAGAAAACGTTCGCATCACGACAGCACCTATCAACACTTTCGCATAAGTCTGAAGGAAAAGCTTGAATAAAGCGCAATGCAACTCTTAGATCCAGCAACCAGAGTAACTTCTATGTCGTTGGAAGGCGTTATCAGTCTTGATCTAACAAGGGAAGGATCCCAAGTCGTAGTGGCCATTTGAAATGGGACCTATACTGCTAGGGGTATTTTTTGACGCTGATTCCAAATCTGCATTCAAAAACTGCCAAACGATTCTCTGAATGAAGTTACGGAGGTGGTCTCCGGAGAGCGCTCAACAGGGGAAAGCACAAAAGCCATGGTCGCCGGTAGTCCAGCAGTGGCGGCTTAGAGTAGAGGTAAGCGTGACACTTCATAGGCATGGGACCAAGGATCGGGTTTGGTGCGCGGCGGCGTTTTTTGCACCTTGCAGGACTTTTTTCTCCAGGTTGTGAAAAGCTTTTTATGTTAGTTTTACCGCCTTGAGCGACTTTCTAGTTGCTGGGGGCGAGTCAGTTCCTACTTCAACCGTCTTCCACTGCTGTCGATCAGTTTTTAAAAAAGGTGGGGGTTGCTGTCAGTTTTCGAAAAATGTGAGGGTTGCCGTGTGGCAAAACCGGCAAAGTAAGGTATATATGGATCCTGGGATGTTGAACGCGCCCTTACAAGGAAGGAGCACAAGTTGATAGATAGTTTCTCTTCACTATCTTTTTTCTATCTTGCGGAATCCCTTTCATGGACCCTCGATATTGAGGGCGAAGAAGACTGCGTGATTGAGGGCGAGGAGGCCGACCCACTGTGGGAACCGGACGATGAAGAGGAAACAGCAAGCACATCTGAAGGGTCGTTCATGTTTGGTAATGAGGAAGTGTCCAGAGAGCATGTGCAGGTTCTTCTTCCCATCAAACTTGTTAGAGCGAGATAACAAACAGATCCAGGTAGAAAGCGCTATCAGAAAAGTGAAATTTTCCATTTGTTGCGCTCATTATGAAGACTTTTTTGTTTTAAACACGTCGTGCTAGATTGTCGCATCCGTTATCATAGGTAAAAGTTATCCTACAGTGAATTAGAAATGTACAACAATAAGAATAGAGTATCTATAATGTTGGTGGTTCGATTAGATGTCAGACGGTTTAAGTAGGAACTGACTCGCATCCAGCAACTAAGAAATCGCTGAAGGCGGTAAAGCCAACATAAAAAGGTTTTTCCAAGTTGGAAGAAAAAGTCTTGCAAGATGCAAAAACGCCGTCGCCCACCGAACCCGTTCCTTGGTCCCGTTCCTGTGAAGCATCACGCTTACCTCCACTCCAAGCCGCCACTGATGGGCTACTGGCGACCATGGCTTTTGTGCTTTCCCCTGTTGAGCGCTCTCCGGAGACCACCTCCATAACTTCAGAGAATCGTTTGGCAGATTTTGAAAGCAGATTTGAAATCAGCATCAAAAAATACGCCTAGCAGTATAGGTCCCATTTCAAATGGCCACTTCGACTTGGGATCCTTCCCTTGTAAGATGCACTTACTCACTCTTGTCCAAGGAGATGTTTTGATCGCCTCAGTGAGCCAAACAATGTGCCACGGTGACCAGCCAATCCAATAGTGGGAGAACTAAAGTTGTATGCATTCCGTTGTTTGATGCGCCAAAATGCAGATCTAACCTGATACAGACCTTTTGCTCGAGAGCTCTGAAAATAAGATTCGACTGGTGTACGAAACATTACCGTTACGTGTAGAAAATCATGTAGAAATGAGGTTATGATAGTAAGATTTTATGTGAATCTAATCAACTATAGTATATAAGAAACACAGAAGGGTGATTTTTCATTCTTCTTCTTCTTCTTCTTCTTCTTCTCGTCCAACTCCACTGTTTCGATTCCGCTGCAGTACGTCGTCAACAATAAAGTGAGAAGTACACAGGAGTACGACAGAAGCACAAGAACACACATAAAGCAATCGCGTGGCAGGCAAAAGTATTTTACTGCTATATCTGGACCACACTTCACCACAACTGGTGCGTGGTCCTACACGTATTCAGGAAGAACAACATTGTTGTAACTTTCCACTTGATCTCCAACAAGAGCGCTGCCGACAATTGGTAAGGCGAGGCTAGGCTATTTATACACTGAACGCTTTGCTCTATATATTTCTCTGTCTGTCATGAAATTGCGTATATCTTGAACAAGCACCTGGAAAGATTGGGTCAAGTATGGGATGGGTAAGGCACAGGGCAATGTGTGTAAGCTGTGGAATGTACCAAAAATGGAGAGAAGGAGATGCATCGGCAAAGGGCGTGGTGTTCCATACAGACAAGACTTATTTCAGAATTCGATTCCATTCAAGCCGGGAGCCATAAATTTAAAAAAATGGTTGCAATATGAACGTCTTATCGGCTTACGACTACTATCCAGGAAGGTTCGTGACTCAATGAAGGATCACGGTTTGCTCTGTTCCAATATATTATCCGACAGCCAATACTCTGGAATTATCAACCAATGGTATATCCTTAGAGTGAAGAAGTTCCATTGATAACGACATATGATGTTGTTAATACCCAACAACATTTATGAGAACCATTCAAGGATTTGGTTGTCTCACACTAAATCTTCGACTGTTAATTATTTTTATGAGCATAGATCGAGCATAATCATAGGTGTAAGCATCGGCACATACTGAATACCACTTGCAACCCTGTTAGTCCTGCATCAAATTTCGTAGGGACCGGTTAGCGGGGTGATCCGATTGGATTTCTCATATCCGTGTTCTCGTTAGTAGGAACATTATAAGCACCTCTGAAGACCGACTATTGAATAATTATGATGCTCGTTTATAAAAAAAAGTCGCTGTGCCCCATTCACCCATTCACGGAGAAGCCTATCGCGATCCTACTTGTAACTTGGTTAGATCCAAGCAAGGGGAGGACTACTACTAATTCAAGTGTGTTAGGATATTTGTAGTCACATCCTTAAGCGACATCATCGCCTTCATGTAAAGAATACCTCTTCCTTTGCGCCATTACGCCAAACTCTCCTATTTCGAGTCAAATATCAGAGCCCCGCATGATTGCAGGCATTGCCCTTCAAAAACTCTGTAATCTCGAATGTTCCAGTACTTTTGTGAAAAGGAATGGCGAGTCAACCGTAGCGTATCCTACTCTCTCAAGGGGGAAGCCCACCGCGACAGTGCGATCTGAATTGACAAAGGTAGGAATAAGGCAGCCCAAAAAATAGCTTATTGTTAGTTTATTTTTATATCTATTCAGCTACCTGGCTGCGAAAATGAAAGACATACAATAAAAAGCCTTCAATTTTCAAAGTCATAAATTTATTGAAAGATCAAAAATTTAACAACATTCATCAAATGTTCAATGAAAGAACAGACTAGAGTGCAGAAACAATGTTAAACGATAATTAGCAAACTGACTTCAGAAGCTTTAAAGCAATAAAAAATGAGAACTGCTGAGCAATCTACAAGATTTGAAAGGAGATAATAAAATTCAGAAAAACAACTGATGAAATGTCATACCATAATAGGCGTAAGTGAAAAGAAATCAGTTTAGGTGTGCGCTACAAGTTACAATCCCGGAAACGACTATACATTTGCAAAGCGATTCTCGTCATAATGTGACCCACGATGCACCAGATATCAATTTCACTTCTCAGCTCAGCAGCTTCTTCGCAATGAATTGAGAAAAACCTCCAAGCATTTTTTGAAATCACCGTGAAAAAAATCACAGGTAGTATTTCTTAAAAGCATACAAGTCTCCAGGATAGGTATAGAAGGATTAGAGAGGCGAGTGAACAAGATGGCCCATTTGATTCCCACGCTGCTGTCGTTAACACAGTAAACCTCAAAAGGCCGCGAGCTAATTTTGAACAAATTATTGCAGTAATACTTCGCTGGAGAACGAGAAGGGAGAACACTCACAAAATACTTTCGTCATGTCAAGAAAACATTGAATCGGACAGTTCAAAACTACATACGGCCCTACTACAGAAGAGATGGCAGCATATAGACAGGACTTCGGAGGCACGAACAAAAATGTATGAAAAAGCGGGCATTTTGGCACTAGACCTGTTAAATCAGATGCTGCCAGTTACTAAAGCCACCATTGTGTGACTGACTCGTGATGCGAAGAAGGTCCCGTCTACATATGATACCATATTTATGCCCCACGACGTGGGTAACTGTTAAAATGAATGATAAATTTTCAATATAGCACAATAAAGTAAGTTCATAATAACTCCCATAACAATTTATTTTTAATAAATATCTCTTTATATGGACAACAACCCTTAGTAAACAACGTCATAAATGAAAGAGGCAAAATAGAATCTAACCAAAAACGCGAAAATAGAACAAGTCACTTGAATCGAAAGCAGAACGTTAGTAAGAGTTCGCTCGTGGAGCGGACCCGCAAACTTCAGCACTAGATTTAAAATTGTTAGATTGTTGATCTCCTGCCACCTGTAAAACCTCACTTCAATCTGGTAGAGATCGTACCAAAGCAATTCATACTAATCGCTAATTTCAATTATTCTCATTTTTTTGGGCTCCTTGAGCTTGTTCACAAAAATCTGTACCACCTCATTTCGACGAGGGAAATATGACGGTCAAGAAGAAAGATCGATTGGATAGATCATTAGTACGTAAATGGTCACAATGCAACAATTTTGAAAGGCTCATTCTTGTGCGGCAGTAATGTTTTCAGGATCGGTTCGAGGGAAATGTTCGGAAATCATAGTTGCAGGGAGATGAAGAAAACTTCTTTCGAGCCAGCAACTTCCCGCTGTTCGCGTCGTGTTTGTCTCAAATTATATTAAAGGCACAGTTCACGATATTTTTGAGGTACCTTTTTTAGCTTGAAAAGCGGAAGTGATGATGTGGAGGAGTACATCGGTGGCAAAAAAANAAAAAAACGAGAAAATCCGCCATCTTCGAGGGTTTTTAAAAGTAGAGGGAATGGAGGTTGTAGGAGATCACCGACGGGAATGGCATGTAAGGGGTGTTTGGATGAGATTTACTTTGCTCCCATTGCGCAAAGAAATGACACCATCAAGCCGGAATTGTCCGAAACTGCCTTTCGCTGTCGACATGGAATGTGACAAGTTGTTTAAACCTCCTACATGGAAGTCCCTTGAGTTAGTGCAGTCTCTACAAAGCCATTAAAACTTGTCGACTAGGGTCCCATTACACGATACAATCTCTGGTTCCTTATTGTGTCCCACCCAGGACGTTTTTCGCCCTTATCACGACAGGTGCGGTATAAGGGGGAGCCTCGAATTCCTATAGGGTAATCTCAGAAACCATTTTCATCGTGAATTGCGCCTTTAACAACGGCATATACTATTATAAAAATCCGTCGCCACTTGGATAATATCTAGGTAGAGCGGATGAAGAAAAAAGCCCAGGTTCTGCGCTGAAACAAGTATGTGAAAGCTGTATAAGCTATAAAAACAAGTGTTAAATAGAAAAAAGAACCAACAACAGGAATGAATAAAAAATATTCATGAACGATGATAACTTTCAAAATTTCAATTACTAAAAACAGGCGCACAAATCTTCCTATGGGTAACAGTCTGATGTAGAATTTCAGAGATGAGCATCATAGCACACCATCCATCTCAAGGAACTGCCACTTGTGACATCCATACTGGTCATCCAACCTTAATTCAAACCAGGTGGTGATACATCACTACCATCGTGATGTAAAAGCTTCGATGCAAAATAGCCAAGCACCGGACAAAGGAGTGGCACTGAATAACTTCAGTCCTTAGACTTCACGCGACTCCTCCTGCACGTCATCAGCTTCGTATGGACGATCATCAATTTGAACATGGACAACCATCCATTTGAACATATGCATCATGATTTGTTCCTTACATTTGCTTGCTGCGATTCTCGGAACCTGCCGCTATGTTGATGTTTAATGTTCTTACAATCCTTTCAGATGTTAGTACACCGCATGAAACACCATGTAAACTATTCAAGGTTGCGCATACGTAGCGCCATATTCTATCACCTAATCGCGCTGCTGCATGTTTTTGAAGCAAATAGTTATCGATGCATTGCATATTATGACACAGTCTTGTGGGCTATATGACCTATACATTGACATGCGGCGCCTAACACGTTGTACGTTTAAGTGCTGATAAGCTATGGCATATAAGCCATTAAGAAGGCGAGAGGAAGCGAGGTCTCAGTATTGTAAGGGATAAAAGCACCTTGCCCGAAGTCACAAGGACGAGATCGAATCCCGCTGAAGGCCGAAATGTTGTCCATAACTCGCCAACCTTGTGAGTTGGTGGGGTGTTGATCGTGCCTGACGCCCACTCAGACCGATGTAATTGGTGTGTGCACTTATTCCCGCGGTTTTTGCGAGTAAAAACATTTATTACGAAAGCAAAACAAAATGTACACCATTCAATGTATTGTCCGCTGTTAGCTACAATTTCTTGCCGTCTTTCTGGTAGCTTGTTGATTCCGCGTCTAAACAGTCTCATCATTTGTGGCGATCCAGTCATCAACCCATATCCGCCCTTCTTCGGCATTCCGGAAGCGTACATCTGCCAAACCGCAATTTTTATGAACAATCTTTGCGACATGTGGCCCGGCGTTGTCGTGGTGGAATGCATCTGGTGATGATTTTTTGCCATTAATGGCCACTTTTTCACTGAGGGCACCCGACAAATCGTCACGTTGGTGTTTGTAAGGGTCAGAAGTAATAGATCCCTTTGATTAAGCAGCTCTTAGTACACAACACTCCTGATCCCACCAAATACACAGCATCACTTTTTGGCAACGGATATTCCGCCTTGGCCGAAAACACGTTGGTTGGTCTGGGTCTGCACATGCTGCTTTCCGTTTCGGATTATTGTAGCAGCTCTAATTTTTATCCCCCGTCACAACCCGGTACAGGAAATGTTTCTTTTTGTGTTTCTCAAGGTTTTCTCTGCAAGCCCTCACGCGTGCTCTGGGGTGCTTTCCTGACAGCTGGTGAGGGACCCAAATCCAAAGCTTTCGAAATAGTTGCACTGCTAACCGTTAGCTCAACGTCCAGCTCTGGGAGCTGGGCCTGGGCTATTTCATCCAACAATCCTCAACCGCAAATCCTAAAATTGTTTCGGCCGGCTTAGACGTTTTATGTCTCCCAAGCCCTGTCCGCTCATGTCGAACATCCAATTGTAAATCGTTGGAACTATTCTCTGAAGGATCGCTCTCATGGAGCTTGTTCTCCATAAAAATCGAAAGGCACCGCTAAAGTTCACTGCCAGTTTTCTTGAAACCAAGCAGTAAAAGAAGCCTTCGAGAAGACGACTTATCACGTTCCATGTTTAACCAATTTGTGGGCAACGGGACTGGATGGAAAGCTAATTTGTCTGCCCTCAAGTAGGTGACCAATATCCATTTCACAAATACGAAAACTTTCAGAGTAAGCCTACGACATGGTTCGCGTAACAACTCTTCAAAATCGGTGGCGGAAATAATGTATACACCTATGAATGTTTTCTTGACCTATCGTCTCTCTTTTCCTAAGGTTTTTACATATATGAGGAAAAGTAATTTATTACATATTGTATTTATAATATATACAACGTAATAAGGAGCGCCTTCTGTGCATATGTAAATGTTAATGTGCAAATGTATGTGTATACGCGTGGTTGTGTATATGTTTTGCAGCAAAGGAAAGCAGGAATGTGAGTGATATTTGTTGTGTGCGTAGCGGTAGGCAGAGCTTGAGCTAGAATAAATTAAAAAAATCACAACTGCGCCCAAGAGCGCACTGGAGAGAGATGTACGTACATTGATAAGGGAATAGAAGTTGAGGATATGGTACGCTCGGTGTACTCGAAAAACTGAGAAAGAAGAGCCAAAATTCGAAAGTTCACAGGTTCCTTCAAAAAGGAAAAAAGCTTTTAGCATATATGAATAATGAAAATTAGAAAGAGTTGGAAGCACAGTATCCGTGATAGGCGGATATGTACCACGTGCGAAAAGAAAAAATCATGGATTATAACTCCGTTCGGAGAAACTATAAACCAAGGAAAAAATGAACACGTCGATCAAAAAAGTAAGGACAGATTTTTTTAATAGTCTCGGCATGCACAGGAGCAGGTGGATCCGGAATCATCTATTATAGAAACGTTCGAATTTTCGGATAAAGTTGGGAAAGTGAAGGAGGTGAAATAGTCATATTTAGGGCGCAATTTACAATAATTTTGGATTATCTAGTTATAGATTAGTAATGGGAGTGTTAGTCCACAACTTTGCAATAGTGGCCAAGAAAACGCGGAAGTCGGCGCATCTGAAGAGATATTAGGCATTCAAAAAGAAGCAAGACTACTAATTGGACGATAATGTGTAGACGGAAATTTGAACAAGCTATTTAAATTGCGCCCCATTGCATATATGTAGCTGGCTGAAGCAAATGGAATGCGTGCAAGGTGTGGCTCCCGGTGTGAATGGTGTGCACTACAGTTTTTACAACGCTTGAGAAGTGGTCCGCCTTGGGTGGATGGGTCGACTGAGCCGCTTTTGGAGGCCCTCAGTACGCCCTATCTTGACCGTTTTTCGACCCGTTAGCGTCCGTCAGGCTATCCTCGGGTATCACAGGTTCATCCAAGGGAGAAGTCTCAAAATCTATTTCTGACGTGAACCGTGCTTTTAAACGAAGTCTGCAGCGAAGTGAGCGGAGACCAAAATGGACGGCAACATTACAACAGGACGAGTGCCTTTACGTAGAGGAGACTCGAGTAATGAAATTCTAGCCTGTTTCGTGCAAAAAGGAGGTAATTCCCTCTGCTCGATCTTTTATTGATCGAAGATGAGAAAAAAAGTGACCTTATTATGCGTGATTAATAGGCTGTGACATTGAGTGAGTATAGCTAGGATAGTCTAAACATCACAAAGACAAGTTCCTGAACATTCGTTGACCAAGCTATGTTTTGCAAGCTCTTGAGGTAGTTGATCCCGACTTGCCATTGGCACCTTCTGTTTTTTACTCTCTGGATGCAGAATTCAAAAGAACCCATCCTTAATTGAACTTTTTGTCAAGAAACGGTCTTATTGTTAGACCATTTTCGGCTGAAGGTACCACCTCATCCTGAATGGCCACTGCGACCTATTCTCATTCCCTTATCAGCCGGCACTTCTTCTTTGGTGGTATTACATGTGCACCGAACTTGGGCGCTTGTATATTTAGCTCATTGAAATGAGTCACATCTTAACTTTTCACAAAGGTACTGACACAAGAAACATACCGCACACCATCTTTCTCATACTTTCTGCAATACAGCATTCCACATGTGGAGAACACTTTCAGGACAAATCTACCCAACAGGTTTACGTCCGCTTCCTTGAACTGAGCAACACTCATATCTACCTGAACGATTGTTAGCTTGAATTATTACTTTAATATTTCATCAGTAACTGAAAAGCAAGAATGATGTGAAATGAATGAAGATCCCAAGATCTTGTAATAACTGATCACTTCAATGATTCACTTGGTTAGAAAAAAAACTGAAAAACGATAAAACGCCGCGAAGGGGATGAGATTAGCAAACTCTTAAAAGTTTCCAAGATTGTTTATCGGAAATTTGAGCAAAAGCCCGTCTGTTGTGCACAGCATTTCAGCCTTGATAGCATACCATATTTCAGCGATTTCTCAGTGTGAGCCCTATTCGTGAAGAGCCCAGAAATTTAATAGGGTCAAAATAGCAGCTAGGAGGGAGAAAACCGGAGCATGGGCTTAATTAAGAATGCAATAACTAAAACTATTCAAGTAGGTTGTTTATATCATCGTGATCCACACAGCATAAACGGCCACATGAATCACATGTTGTTCGCTAATAAATAAGAGTCGAATGCGGTATAGACGAACTAGGCCATTTGCATCATAACTGACTGATTCAAACTTACAGTATCCGTTGCACTATCAAACTTTGGAAGGCGGTGCCTTGGACATGGCACCAATTTGAACAGTTGAGGTATGGAATAAAGGAAGTTGAATACCTGCATACAGCACAGGAACAGAAATTGCACAAACGATCTCTTACTTCAATAAGTGTATGATATAAGAACAATTTCTACCTGCGGTATCAAGAAAAGAATCATCGTTTTGCTGAAACGACCCAGAATAGATACAACAGCAAGTGTCATGCCGGCCCAATAACAGAAAGTATCACCGACAAAAACACGCGCAGGATACTAAATAAAAGTTTTCACATTTTCATTTTTTTAATTCTGCCAATTTAACCTTCTCAAAACAAATACCCTGAACTGAATTCTTTATGCTTTTGATGGGGTGTGGTGCAGTAGGAGCGAAATTGTCGCGTCACGGCGAGGGACACGCCGCGCGCGAAGGAACGTAGCAAAATGCAGCGGCAAGTGAGAAATTCAGGAACAAAGGAACTAACAGTAAAATCGTCATGAGGAATAATCGCACAAGGATTGAGCTGTATGAGGAACGCTAGAACTATTATAACGAGGCAGAGGCTCCACGACAGCCGCGTGCGGTGGACCGATTACACAAAACCATTCCTACTGCCCGTCTCCCCTTTTGAAGCTTTACTTCATGACTCCACTATCAGGATGAATTGAATCAAGCAAAAAAAAAAAAACGTAACACAAGGATGATCATAGAAGAAGGTCATGGAAAGACTCCATATCAAAATTACTTGCGTTGTTGAACTGGAAAAGGGCCGATGTACAGGCAAGAAAAGGTATAAGTATATACAACGATAACAGATGATCCCAACATTCATCCAGACGCCCTATCTGAAAAGTCGTTTCTCATTCACTTCTTAAGGTAAAAACAGAATAGAAAGATGAAGGAACTATACCTGCACCAAGTTGAAAGCGACCACACTGAAGGCTATTACTATTGCCTGGCCACTTTCAAGTCCGTTTATGCCTGAAAGCAAAAAACAAGGTAATAGCTTAGGCGGGGAGTGAAGCAGTAGTTATCTTGATTCAACGCAGGCGGGTGGTTGTAGTTGTACCCGAAAGGCGAGCGACGAATATCTCGCTCGGCTACCACTACAACCCTTCAAGAGCAAGCAAAATATTCCGTTCATAGCGCGCGCGATCAGACGCGTCAAGCGCGGCAAGTCTTTTGGATGTAAAATATCACAACCCGCGGAAAGACAACCCCCTTCGTCACAAGAAATGTTGACAATGTGAAGCTAATCAACAGTGAATATTCAGCTGCAATATTTTCATCCCATTACATCTCCTAGTGCTCTTTCTTGACTAGACAGTACTGAAGCTCAAAATTCTCAAGTCCTTGACACGGCAAGAGTAGAGCGGTGAAACGTCCTCGCTCAACGATCATAAGCCGTAGTATTCCTACTGCTCAGAACTCTGAAGAGGACCCGCCGAAGGGGGTCATGGTTGTTTGACATCCCGATATAACCGCCTCGGCTAAACGGTCATCATATAATCACATGAGGTGTACTACTTCTCTGATCTATTTTCGCGACACACGTGCGACCTTGTCAACGTTCCTTTTATGCACCTGCACTGAATTGGGCCCCGATCGCGGAATGCTAACATTCTCAAGGGCTGAACAAAAAAATTGCTGGAAGCTGAAGAAGAATGTTCTCTGCTAAGCCGTTCCTCGTCAATCCGCCAATGTAGTATCAATGTCGCCACGCTAAGCGATTATCTGTTCCTCTCATTCTGTTGGGGATTCCGTCTACGAAAGTGAGCTGCAACCACAACGCTTTGCGACATCATCAGCTCCTCTACTGCCTTGGAGACAAGGCAAATACAACACGACGATAACCTTCTTAGCATCACCCAAGCATTCCTTTATCTCTTCTTGTCTCACTTTATCCTCTTGTCTTCTCTGCTCTCGTGTGTTTACGGTGTAGATTTGTGTCGAGTGCATGCATGAACTTGCATCGATAAGTCGGGTTCTTGTCGTGTAGGCAATATGCGTAACATCGCACCAGTTACATACGGTTTTTCGCGCATGTTTTGTAGTGTAGTCATCAGGGGCAAAGGCCCCCCATTTGGTCTAAGCCCTGCAGCAAGCCGATGCTACTTGGCCCACTCTAGGCGCGACAAATACCCTGGAGAGTGTAGGCTCTTCGGGCCCCATCTTGGTGTTGATATCACCAAACACGACTTTGAAGAAAGAGTGTTCTTTCTGTAAAGCTTTTTCAGNTTCATATAAAACATTTCCAGATCATCTTCTTCGGCTCTTAACGTTGGTGCGTAGACAATGAAGAGTGTTGGAACTGGTGTTGAGCCACATCTTCTCAATCGCAAAAGTGCGATTTGGATTGTCAAGGCTTTGTCCCGATCGATGTTCATCCCAGAATGCGTGTTGATGAAGAGTCCTACATTACCGATGCCTCTGCCCTTACATTATCCAAAGAACAGTTCTTTTCCAGTCTCAAAAGTGGTATGCAAGGCTATGCCTACTCGCGCGGTCATCGTAGTTGATGCTCCTAGCGCTGAAAGTACAAATCGTCATCTTAGTCCTTCTCTTTTCATATGGCCTGCTATGGCCCTGAGATTTCAGCAGCCTTTCCGAGCGGTCCTACTCATAGCTACCCTATTGGGGACTACCTCAGGTTTAGGGGCATGAGACCCATTTCTGATTTTTTTATACCAGTTGGCCTGCGCACGATACCATGCGCGTTTCATGACTTGCGATAAATGAATTTCCTTGAAGATGACCTGGAGCGTAATCGTCTTAGCAACACAGTAACCACCCTCTTTCAAGAAATGGACAGTCCGTCCTCCCACCTAAAATAATAGCGTCATAAGCCGTTCATCGAGAGCGCATATTTCGACCTTGAGATCATTAATTTCTTGTTTATCCCTAACCATTGTGGAATGCCTGTATTTCACTGAAGATGAGAATAAAATCTATTTACACTCTGACATTTATCCGCACCCGTCGCAGTAAGCATTTGATAGCCTACGCATCAACGATCTCGTTGGCCAATATATTGCTTGATGAAATTTATGTGGTGACAGGCAGGTCCATATTTGTTATTTTGACGCAAACCCGGCCCCCGGTAGGTGGAGTCACCGACCATTAGTTTTCCCATCTTGCCGCCTACTCTCTGCCAAATTTTATTCCCTCGGGGCCAAATTTCTATTTTTTGAGGAAGCCTCGCCCCCAGTGGGCGGAGTCTACACCTATCCATTAGTTTTCCCATCTTGCCGTCTGCATCTCTGCCAGATTTGAACCACCCTGGTCCAAACTGTTTTTAAGGAAGCCCCGCCCCTAGTGGGCGGAGCCTAGCTTAGGTAACGTGTGCTCAAGGGGCCCGCCTCATTCTCCACTTGTTCCAACCTCATTCCCCACTTGCTCCAACCTGTCTGAGCTGTTTCAGTTGATTTCCGAACGGCACTATATAAGATAGTGCCACAGACAAACAGAAAAACAGACAAACGGACATTTGCGGTTTATATAGAGTAAGGATATGGGCACCACGAGCAAATAGTCAGGCGCTGATATAGGAACTAAGTCGACTCCGGCTAGCTAACCAGGCTCAATCCCAGATCACCTCCCATTCACTAGAATGCGACCTTTTGGCTGAACCGGTGTGCAGGATACCAGCCGTACCCGCAGATTCGCCACGCGCGCATGCATGTAACACCTTCGAAGAGGCAGAACGTATAGATTGGGCCAACATAGCAAAACACGGATCTACTGATCTGGATGCGCTTCCTTCCGCACGTCCGTCGAAACCAGATTACATCGCAGCCATCACATGCGGCCCGTCAGCTCGTGGTACTGACAGATGTCGCAGTTGTCAGCGAGGCATACATCTGTACTTGGTCGACGGAATTTAGCGAAAAGAGAAGATAACACGGGCTAGAACGAATCATTTGGTCCGCTGACAATGGTGGAACTGTAACGTCATCTCTATAGTTCGGAAGAAACAACAAAGATGGTTGATGATGTTTATGTCCTAAGCGTCGCATCAGTTTGACCCTTCATTCCAAAAGCTTTCCACCGTAAATAAAAGCAATATCCCAATTCAAACTTCATGATCTTCGGAACTCATGAGAGAGAGGACTTCGATATTTCGTCCACATAACAAAAATTTCCAGGCTGCTCCCGGATAGAACTGTCACAGAGAGCAGGACCATACTCAATGTAAGCATTCCCACCAATGTGGTATTTTGAAAATTCAGATAGAAAGAAGATTGAAAATTTCGTAGAATGGACCATGTTCGACTTTCTCTTAATCTCGGCATAGCTGAACTTGTCTCTTGAGGTGTTTTAAAGCCTTCCCGAGATTCACAAATTTATCCAGCTTACGTTTCGGCCTCCTCGCCTTCTTCAGAGCCTGAAAGCCGAAAAACGATTTGAGATTGGTCCTCACGTAGGCCTAGGCAATACTTAAAACAGTCCTCTAAACTAGTAGACCCCCCTGGACTCGATCAATACAAGAGTGTCCCATGGCTTACCTTGTATATTTCATATATTGAAAACTTCAAATGGATAATTGTCACGCGCTGGATTGCAGATTGCACACTACATCATTGTTTCTAATCCATCTCCCCTACCACAGCTTCCCTAGCGTCTAGGCGAAAATCTAGGAGCGAAGGCTTCACCATGAATAAGTGAGAAAAAACTTACCTGCTAGAATATTGATAGCATTAGTACAGAATACAACTACCATGCACATAAACAAGTAGTAGAAGATGTTTATATCGATAGAAGCAGGTATACTCGGAAAATAAGACGAAGGAACAACAGAAGACAGCAACATTCGTATTGTTCTGGAGGGAATTAGCACAGTAGTTGAACCTCCTAAATATGGTCGTTGATTTAAATGCCAACACTCCCAAACTATGGCAACTAGGACAAGTTAGTTCACCCGATTATTGCATAAAGTTAGCTCGCAAAATAACTCAGTGTTCGATGCGTTACACGTCGGACTGCCAAAAGGCATTAGCGATTAGTAGGAAAGCATCTTAGCGCTGAACCTATTGTGATATATTTTTACCGGCAGATCACTGCAAGTCACCGGGCAGGCCAAATAGTTTGCAGCAGTTCTGCAATTTCGAACAACGGTCATTTACGACCACACAACTTTATGGCAAGAGATAGGAATTTCTAACACCGAAGTGTTTTGGAAAAGAAGAAAAACATTGCAAAATACTAAATTCCAACAGTAACACCCTATTACCCTTGGAAGTTACCGTGAAAAAAAAANAAAAAAAAACCATGGAAATAATTTTTCAGCTTCAAATAATACCGTTCAAGAGCCCTGCACTCAGTTCACTTTCATGACGCATGTGGCTCCATTGTCTAGTCGACAGATTGTCACATTCCATTCCAAGAAACCGGCAAATCTGTTATTGGCAAGTGGGTTTCCATCATTCATGGGGCAAGTATTAGAGTGTCCATAAAGTTCGTTGGCCATTTGTAAACGGCGTCGCGTAACGCAACGCGTTGTGATTTTGCATAATGATTTCGCAATACACTCGCTTGGGGCTATCTCCTGAGCTAGCTAGCTCTAAATTTCCTTTTCTGCTCTCCCACCAGTAAAGCAGTGAAGATGAGTGATAGTCATCACCACCACCGATGTTTGCTGGACTACTACTACCTGAGCATCTTCAGACGTCAGGCCACGACCAGGATGCGTCAGCAGTTTGGTGATAAAACCCCTTGCAAGAAATGGATGTCAAAATGGTGGATTCGCTTCATCAATGAAAACTATGGCATCGAAGATATGCCGAGGTCCGGTGGCCCATTTTGGTTCTCTCGCCACGGCGTCGTCCACTACGATTCCTACCCAACAATGCCACAGTGACAACAGAGACCCTCCCTAAAGAATTGCAGGAGGTCAAGGTGAAAGCTGCCGCCTTGTCCCAGAAACTTGCAAACCCGTGGGTTAACGGTTTTAACGCGGGTTAACGCGCGCCCCCACAAAGCGAGAGATGCGAGAATATAGATACTAGATAGGCCGTCCCGGACCGGCTGGGCATCAAGATGGTCACGTATCCACCGTATAGCCCGCACATCAGTCAATGTGATCACCATATCTTCCGGTGCACGCAAAATTTCTTGGACGTAAAACAGCTGAAGAACGAGCGCGACCTCGAGGACGTGGTCGAGGACTGGGCCGAGTCGCGGCCGGCCGGCTTTTGGGAGGATGGGGTTGCCTCTCTACCCGATCATTGGCGAAAGGTGGTGGGTATACATGGAGACCATATCATGGACCATTAACTTCAACTTGGTGAGTTATCACCACAAGCTCCGAGAAAACGAACGGCCAACGAACTTCATGGACACCCTAATAAAGTGGCATTAACTTCTAATCCGCCTGACTTTTGTAAGTAATCAAGTCCAAATCAGTGTTTTAATTATACAATTATCATCAATCGCAATCATTTCCTTTGGATCTAACGCTGATTCCCTCCACAAAGCTTGAGAGATGGTTGAAGCATAGGGTCCTTGACATGCACGTCGGTACTGGTCAGCAAAACGTCTCGAAACATTTAAGAGCGCAAATATCGAACCTGCGCTCCAAATTTGATAGGTGATTCTCTTAACGAAATCATGAAGGTGGTCCCGAAGAGCACTTGAATAAACAAAACACTTAGGGCGTGGTAGTACTGCACTCAGCGGTGACTTGGAGCAGTGGCGAGCGTGTGCTTCACATGCATGGAACGGGTTCTGTGAGAAATGTAGCTTCTGCATTTTGCGAGGTTTTCCCCAAGAAGTCGGGGATCCTTTATATGTTGATTTCACCACCTCCCACAGCTTATTTGAAGCCTGAAGTGATACGATTTCTTCCTAAATCGTACAATATCGCTACTGACTCACTCTTCTCCTCACACACCACATTCTCTGAGAGATCTCTGAAGAAAATGCACACACTGCAATTTCTAGCCTTAAGAGGCCCGAACAAAGCTGGAAGTGGCTACTTTCATAGTCCGCCACCGCACCGGCCGGGGGACTATTAGGCCAGCGGTATCGACCGAGATTCAGTTGTAAAAAAGTTACAAGCGCCACCCCTTGCCGTCGGAGTGTGAAAGCAGAGGCGTGCAGGGAGTCCATGGTAGCACCCATTATTTCACAATTACGTCCTGCCCTTTCGGGGGGCCGGTACACCCGTGCGATGCAGACTGCGCGCGGCAAATCGCGCAGCGAAATTCATAGCGATTATGACGATTCAGTGCCTGTTATTGGGGCCCAAATTTCAAGTAGAGTAGATTAGTAGGATCAGCTGACCCTAATTAACTAATCTACTTCAAATATGTACGCCTATAATGGGCACCAAAGTCCTTTGAATCGCCATGAATTTTGCCGTGCAGTTTGCCACGCGCAGTTCGATTCGCACGAATGTACACACACCCGCCTTTTCGTCGATAACCAGTTATTCTCTGGACAGTTTGCGTAGAATCCTTTCAAATAAAAATCCTCGTCAAACAGTGCAGAATAGAGGTATTTTGCACTACTTGACGAGAAACTCACTGAATGATCAGCACATACTGACTCACCCTCGACGCTCGTGCTCAATCAGTCTGTTAGCGTATGAAAAGGGCGTTCTGCAGGCAAAAAACCTGCACATATGCAACTGACAGGACCTCCCAGGAGGGCAGTAAGTGAGCAAGGCGTCCTGTACCTAATAAATCCAAAATGTGCCGAGCATGTCTATGTAAGTGGAACATCGCCTATTGCGGGAGGAGTGCACTTTCAAGCGAATGATGCCCATTACAAAATTCACAAACAGACATTCCAAAGTCCATAAGAAAATGAGTACAGACTTGCAAAGTATAGAAACCGGCGTTCTTCGAAGTGAGTGGAGCTAAAAACTGAATTTGACCATTTTGTTCACATTCAGAATCGACAGTCACCTTCAAAAATGTACTATTGAAAGTTAATAAACGCTACGAGAGGATTCGGATGGCACATCGGTGAAGGAACACAAATAGAGCCTACTCCATAAGGTCGCCAGCTCCCGTTACCCCGTCCAGCACTCAGGGGGTTATCCAGATGATACGAAATGGATTACATACTAAGCAAACAATGCTGTAACCATGAACCAATTGATAAATGAAGGAGCGAAGGAAGATTACGTGAAATCGCCTCCAAAAGCACGTTAAGTCATTAGAGAAGCACACAGCACTATCTTCGCGGAGATTACACATTATTTATAAACCAGTCGCAATTGTATATTCCCTTGTATATGCGTGTAGCGTGAATATTAGGGTCCGGAATCTTCTCCGCGAAAACGGCGTCGCGCACGACGTACCAGCCGCGTATCGCAGGATTGCGATGAAAGATTGGAGCGCACAATTTATGAGGTAGGGAGTCCTTTAATTATTTGAATTGGTTGGCCGCTCCCTTCAATTCCAGTACGGTCTTTATCGTCGCTGATATAGGAGGAGTCATTATCAACGAAGAATATTACGTGCTATCAATTAGTGAGTAAGGCGAGGTGAGTACGGTAGGCGGAGCGAGTACGGTAATCGCAATGCCATTTGCCGCATGCCGCAAGGGAGAATGCCGCAATCGGGGAGAAGTTCCGTTACCCGTGACTATTATACTATTATGTCCGTGTTGTGTGCGTATAAGAGCACATTAGAAAATGCATCCGCTCCCTTGGGCTATGTCCCGGTAGTGCTGCATAGGAGTGGCTGCTTTCAGTGTTCACCAGTGCCTCTCGAGCGCGGGCCGACCGACGGCGGCGCTAACCACTTGTTGGCAACATTGCGCGTGATCCATCGGTGTCCAGTGTTATCAACACATAGCCAGCAACAACGCCGGTCGGACGCACGCTCAAAAGGCACACCGGTGAACTTTGAAAGCAGCCACATCACACAAGACATTTGGTCTTCCCCTCAACGCACGTATGATTTTTACATCAAGCCGACGGTGACCGCTGACGCAATCTCTCGACGCCAGCGCAGCGAAAGGCTGCTCTCAGACTTCGACGTCCGTTCGTACGGCGCGTTGCGTGCGTACGACGGCGGCCCTAGCCAATTGTTGGCACGTGATCCAGTGTTGTGAACAAGTGGCTAGGGCCGCGGTAGGCGGTCGTTTGGCGCGATCCCTCCCGTCGCGCCGCCCATTCGATGCGGTTTGCGAACTGGACAACTCGTCCAAGTGGTCGGACAACCCACTGCCTGTCCAGCTGATAAAACCGATCGATGGCGCTGCTATTAGACGCCAAGTTGCGGACCTGCTTGTATTCTGCCTGTCTACATCGTTTTCTTGGCTTTTTCGTGGCGCTTAGACGAGTTGTCCATTTCGCAAACCGCGTCGAATGGGCGGCGCGGTTTGCGAAATGGAGGGTCGCTCAAACGACATGTACCCCCGATCTTATCAATATTACATATGAGGAAATTAGAAACAAAACTGGACTTACTAGAAAGTGTCAAAAAAGGGAAGCTTTACCTGATACGTAGTAAACCATGAGAATAGGCAACGATGAAAGCGTAGGAAAGGCCAATTTGTGGCGCCATTTCAGGTCCAGTACGTCATCAGCGAATCCTAACAGGATGGCTGTACATATAGAAATCAGTGCAGATAGAAAAGCAAGAAATTTCGTATGAGGAAAGGCACTCCTGCAAAGAAGAAGATAACAATCCGTTTTTGAAAAAAAAACAGCATAGGAACTAAATTCTCCTTGAATACTTCTGGGCTTACGGCCCTCCTCTCCATTGAAAACACAAGATTTCAAAGTATAACACGTTGAAGAAATAGAAATGGGGGATTAACGTTCGTTCGGAGTCATTCTTCAACAAGAATGGAGAAAGATTCAAATCTAAGGTCTACCAAGCTCAAAATCGGGTTCACCGTGCTAGAAAGTTCATTTTTACTTTAAGTAAGACGCAAATGGTTTGAGATCTAAAATCGTGAATGAAAAATTGTAACTGCCTTGAACACATCTTATGGAGAAAACGACCTTCCGCAAAGTAGCCCGAAAGCATGTAATCGTATGCGTGCCTGTTCATATTGTAACTTGTGGCTTTGAACATTTGTAACTTCTTTCACCAGGAAGAGGAAAAGAAACGGAAGGTGGAAGGACAGGTTATCAACCATTTCTCCAAAAAATCTCATTCTAGCTGTCGAAACGTCAGTGTCAATGGCAACTTCTTACAAGCACCACCGCAAAGGATAGTGATCAGGTTTTCACCATATAAAAGTATTAAGTGACCTATCACACCATCTCACCGAGAAATCGCGTGCGACGGTACGAAATTTAATGCTACGAAATATATTAGGTTGTTCGGAAAGGAATGCGCGTTGATTTTGTCCATTCATTTCTCCCCCACTATAGGAGATTTTTCAAAACAGCTTTGTCTATTAGAAAGAGATTTTCATTGCGCATCTTTTGATATATTTTTGACTACGTCTACTTTGTTTTTTCTCAGGAAAAAAAAAACTTAAAAGCTGCTTGACCAACAATTCCTTTTGCGCGCTTCC